CAGTTTGCCTTGCACATGGCCGACCCGGGTTCAATTCCTCCACCCCTCTCGGGGAGCCTGGCAAGCTACTGAGAATATCCTGGCTGCATGGCAGAACCTGGCAAACTCCCCGTGGCATATTCAATATGCCAAAAGCAGCAAGTCTCACAATGGAGACATTACTGGTGCTCACTAAAGCAAATCGATGAATAATGAGAGGACAGTGCTACTAATTTTTATACAGTTGTTTGCAATAATTTATTACATTTAATATTCTAACACCAATCCCACCACCATTACACTTCCCACCACCATATTTCAGATGTTTCCATCTCGAACCCCAACCCCTGTCCCCAAAACAGAACCGAAATAATTTATTTTGCATTGTTTGTTATGAATAATTCACTAAAAATGATCCAGAAAAGGCTTCTTAGAGGAAAGCATGTGAAGATTGTTGTATTTCACCTTGGAACCAGTAAGCTCTTCTATAAGAGATTACTAACATGTTATTAAAGGTGGAGCCCTGTGTGCTTATATATACAAATATATATATAAATATATATATATATATTTTCCCCAGTTGGGTTGCCTTCTGCTTTATACCCCATCAAACGTGGCATGCAACTCTAGGAACATAAGTGGGGTATAATATGAGATGTCACCTGGCTGACAATGCAGCGGTGCACTCCAGGAATTCTAAAATTTTGAATATGGTTATACAGCAAAGGTTAATTAAATTTTTCTTTTAACTGGATGGTGACTTTGGGGTCCGGAGGCATCTCTGTGGTGTGTTGCTTTCTTTTGAGAGGTTTTATTTGTGAGTTTCTGGATCGTGGCTATTAATGAGCTTATTAATGAAGCAGTTTGTGGGCGTGACTGGCAGGGACTCAAAAGCACAGGGAAATGTGGGGCAGATGCTCAATCCCGACTCTGTACGAGTTTGGAGATTTCAGTCACAAGTTCCACATACCTGGGTTTCTCAGCAGATTCACTCAAGGATGAGGCTCATCTAAACCTGTGGAGATTGGTCCTGCGTATGGTGGTGGTTTCTGGAGGTTTTTGGCTGCCGGGGCTTGTTGGGGCGGGGAGGGGAACTCACTTGCCCCCTCTGGGTTGCCCTGGATGAGACAGCCTGGCTCAGGGCCTGGAGGCATGTCTGTGGTGTGTTACTCCTGTTGTTGAACTTTGAGAGTGCTTTATTCATCTTGGAAATTTGCCCTCTGTCTGATTTGTGACGTGTGAGTATTTTCTCCCAACCAGTGGGGTGTCTTTTTATTTCAGGCCTCATTTCTTTGTCAGTACTGAAGTTTTTCAATTTGATGTAGTCCCATTTGTTTATTTCTGCTTTTGCTTTCTTTGCTAATGGAGGACCAGATTCAGATGAGGCTCTCCATCAATGATTCCCCAGGACAGGAACAGAACAAGTATCTCCCAGGCTGCACCTCTTACCTCTGACCTAGGGATCAGGAAGCTGGACTCATGAAGGGCCATTGCTCCTGCTGATCTTGCAACAGCTGACAGCCTCCTTGTATCCAAGAGGCTAGAGGAAGAGTGCTGGTATGCTGGTGTGGAGCTTCAGGCTTTATGCTCCTGCCTCAGTAGAAAACCAGCTAGAAGCAGCAGGAAATTGGCCTTGGTATCACGTCTAACTTTCAGATCACATGAGCATAACTCACTGGCTAAACTACATCAAAGACAGAATTCTATCTGCAAAGGAGCTGTTTCACGTTTGTCTCTTCTGGTTGAATGTAAACCTGTGAGTGTAGAAATCATGTCTACCGACTCACCACTGGATATCACCAGCATCCCCCCAACGCTGAGCACTAACAATAATTTCACGTTAATAAGGCAGTGGTGTTGGAACCAGGCACTATTATATACTCTGTACCAACTCATTTAATCCTCATAACAAACCTCATAATATTCCCCCTCCTCACCCGCTAATCAATAGCTGTAGAATAAGCACGGAGAGGTAAAATAAATTGCTAAGATCAGACAGTGGAAAACAGGATTTGAATCCAGCAATTCAGATTCAAAGTGCTTACCAAATACATTTTGCTGCTTCAGCATTTAGTGAAAGCATACCATTTAAATATTTCATGAGCTGAATTATACATAGAATTGGTCATAAGCAAATTCATATTTATAAAGCACCTTTATAGCAAAGATATTTAACTGTGAAGATGATTCTACTTGGTCACCAGATATACTGGGAAACTCTTTTTATTCTTGCCAAATCCATAATAGATGATCAGGCCAAAGGTGCATGGTATTAGGATGCAAGCAGGATGAAGCAATATTTAGACCCCTTAGACACACAAAAACTTGGCAGAGAAATATGCTTAATTATATATATTTTGCTACTACTTTAAGAGATCTCTATGGGCTCCTTTGAAGAACAAGGGCCATTAGGTCCCCTCCACTCCATGTTTTTACATACATAGCTTAAAGATTAGACGATAAAGTAAAGCAATTTCATTGAAACTATTAAATTAGGGTCAGAGCTGGTTCTGCCAGGTGTGGTCCCTAAGCAAAACGTATTGACTTAGTCACTTTTTGTCATTTTGTTGTAGTTCAAGAAGACTTAAACTTTACAGAATGAATGACTGGGTAACCTTCTAAGGTGGAAATTTCCTCCTATTAGAGTTCTGTTCCAATTACCGACATGATCTGCTCTTACTTTGTTTTCATTTTCTTATTTAACAACAGCTGTTTTAAGGTGGGACTGGGTAGTGTGTAAACGTTGTTGAAGCATGGGAAGAAAGGTATTGATTAAATACCAGAGTACGAACCATTTTAAATAGCAAACTGATGACTGGTGATTCAGGAGGATTCTGTCATTAAGGCAACATCTAAAATAGGAAGAGGGAAATTATTCCAAAGCTGTCCAAACATTCTTGGACTGCCAGAATATATTCTTACCAGCTTTTAAGATGATCACAATGATATTTGCTATAATCTTGATAGGAGAAAAACCATTTATTTCAAAGGTGATGCCTTTAAAAGGGCAGAGGTTTCTCAGTGATAGAAACCCGGAAACTGGAATACAGCCCATTTAGCTTCCCATTGAATTCGCTGTGAATGGGCAGTGATTGTCCCATAGAGGATTGACTGGGAACTTTCTCAGCAACCCATACCTGCTAATTGGCTGTCACACACGCCAAATGTTTTCCAATGGTAAAAGGAGTGTCGATCCAGCTGTGAAAGAGCCTGTTCAACAAAGCTAACTGAACACACCACCCCGCCTCCAATGGATAAGTTTTCTTAAGGAAGCAAAATAAGTAAAATCACAAATGACTAAAAAAAAAAATATTTTTTTTAAAAGGGAGTTTCTCTTGTCTTTAGGATCAAACATTGAAACACCATCCTGTGCAGTGATTGTTGACCTCAACTGTTCTTCCCCCTTTCAAATATACACACAACTTTGTATTCTCTTGTACGATATATTTCAAAACAAATTATGTGAATAAAAAGTCAGAGCAAAGGTAGGTTTAGAATGGGCTGCTCAAAATCTTTAAGCACTTGCATCCTCCCTGATTGTGCATAGCCGAAGATACATTCTCCTGGGCTGCACCATCTTCTGAGAAGGCTGGGTTAGGTATTCCGGAGAATATTCCCAGATGAGCTCCCGTAGCTGGGCCCAGAGCGAATACTTGGACTTGGTGCCTATGCCTACAGGGCTGTTCCATTTGTCTCCATTGATTTTCTAGACAAACGGCTGCTCCTTCAAGGCAGTGGCATCAATGTATCCTTTGTTTAGGGCTGCTTCCTCGGGATTTGAATTGGAGTAATACTATAAAGGTTTATTTACAGCACATTCATTTGTTTCATTTGAGACTCCAGTCCCGGATTACCCTGGCATTCGGTTAAAGATTTGTCAGCAAATTTGCTCTGTGATTTTTTTTTTCTCATTTGGTTGCGTTTACTACAGGCTACCGTAAATTATGCAGATGAAATTCATCTCCAACATATGAACGTGACAACTGTTTGGATTTGGCGTCATCAAAACCGAAGACAACAACTGAAGGCTGTGAATTGTGACTTTGCTTCTACCTTGCTACAATGCGCTTCATCAGATCATCTAAAGAAGCGCTGCCTTAAAAAAAAAAGAAGACCTAGGTGTTTCCTCAACTGCTTTTACATCACTGGAAAGAATTCAAGAAGCCGGAGAGGCTGAATTGAAATACGACATAATTTAGCTCTACCATTAGAAGAATAAATAAAATTAGAAAGCAAACTGACAGATCCCAGTCTGTTTTTCTTATTTTCTTTGCAGAGTATAGATCAATGTTTTTAATCAGTGGGATCGGAATGAGGCTTCCCAAAGTAGTTCTTTTCTTTCTTTCTTTCTTTTTTTTTTTAGCGCATCGACGCTGGGCATCAAAATGAGGATTAGGAGCCCCACCCCATTCCTTTCCAACAGACCTTGCTTCTTCCCGCCTAGAAACAGTCTCTACTACAGTTTCCAGCAAGCACTGCGCGGTACTGCAGAAGGCTCGGGTCCTGGACGGAGGGCGGCTCCCGGAGGAGCATGATGGGAGTTGTAGTGCCTGAGCCAGACTCCCCCGGCCTTCTCTCCAGGAGGCATTCCCACTTGGAGGACGGTGTTGCTCGGCCACAGAGGGCTCTCCCGTTTCGTAATGTGAGCTAAGCGTGACCCGGGCGCGCGCTCCCCTGCGCACCGCGTCGGGCCCACGGAGTTTAGCTCCGCCCCCGTCCACACCCGCTCCCTTGACAGCCGGCTCCAGAGGCGGAGGCGGCGTAGTGGTCGCGCGCAGGCGCAGACCGCGGCGGAGCGGGACGGACGGTCGGAGGGCGGGGCTCCCGAGAAGAGGGCGGGGCTAGCGTGGGGTCGCGCGCAGGCGCAGAGGCGGGCCCACGGGTGCGGGGCGGGCCGAGCGCACGGTCGCGCGCAGGCGCAAGCACAGGCGCAGGCGCAGGCGCAGGCGCAGGCGCAGGGACGGCCCGGCGGGCGCGGGGCGGTCTGAGCGCGGGCTCCCGCGGGGGCGCGCACGCAGGCGCGCAGCGGCCGTCACGTGGGCGCCGAGGATCGCAGTGCGCGTGGCCGCGGCGGCTGGCGTGGGGTTGAGGCAGTTGTGAGGCCGGAGCTGCGGAGCCAGCGGGCGGCCGGCGGCCCGGCGCAGAGCGACAGGCGCGGCTGCGGGAGCGGGAACCGAGCCCTGAGTCGGCCGAGCCGGCGCCGCCTCCAGCCGGGACCCGCCGCGGGCGCGCCCCCGCTCTGCGCTGCCTGCGATGGCGTCCGCCTCCGGGGCCATGGCGAAGCACGAGCAGATCCTGGTCCTCGACCCGCCCACAGACCTCAAGTTCAAAGGTAGGGCCGGGGGGTGTGGGGGGTCGGCGCCCGGCGCCCCCGCGGTGCCGCCCGCCCGCCCGCGCCCGCCGCCATCTTGCGGCTCCTCCCGGCGCCCGGCCGCCGCGCCCGCGCCTGTCCTTGGCCCCGGGGCCGCCGGGCGGTGTCGGCCGGCGCGGGAGGGCGGCGCGAGCGAGGCGTCTCCGCGGCGGGCGGGGGGCGCGGGGGCCGGGGCCGGGGCCGGGGGGCGCGGGGCGGCGCGGCCGTGTGCGGGGCCCCGCGGAGGGCAGGGTCGCCCCTGGCTCTGCGGCGGCTGGGCCCCGCGCCGCTCCGGGGAGAGATGGAGCAGAGGGTAAGCCGGCGCGGTTAGGCGGCGCTTGGGGTTTAACGTGACCGCGGAGAGGCGCGGACGGTCGCGGAGTGCGGGTCACTGTAGCAGATTCACGATGCGTGATTTCCCAGGATTGTACAGGGAAAATAGGGGTTCTAAAATTCCGAGTCAGGAGCCATTACTCAGGGCAATTCACTACCTTTGTGATGTGTGGTTTTTTTTTTTTTTAGAAAGTATTTCGTTTGATTTTTGTTTGTTTTTTGACAGTTTACAAAGGAAATGTTCGCTACTGAATAAGCGTGTGGGCATTGCCGTGAGGGCAGAACCCTCTAAATACAGGATTAGGCGACAACAAAGTGTCCAGAGTCCCTAGGGAAATCGTAATGTTGCCATAGTTAAGAGATTAGTAGTAGTGGGAGAGCGATTGCACCTCACACGGCGTCTTTTCTATACGTTTTACTTAGGTATTGAAGAATTACAGATATGAGTTATAGATAAGGTTCTTGTGTTACTGATGGAAGTGAAAATTCCCATTACAGTTTTTTTGATACGATGCCATCTTTAAACATTGATTTTGAAAAAATGTTTGCGATGTATATAGGCACTTACATTCAGTTGAGTCATAAATTTGGCAAAGTCACTAAATAAAATACCACTCCTGTTTTTCACTAAAGGAAAACTGAGTGATTCACTCAACAGGTATCAGTCAGTTTAGATTTGGGTATTCAGTGCTAAGAAAGGTGGAGAAAGATCGAGTGTATATTTTTTGGGAAAAGCAGGTAACCAAGCAATAAAATGTGTTACGTCTTCATTTTTTTCTTGAACCCCAAGGCTAATGAGTGAGACAGAAAAATCATGGAACAGCAAACAACTGTAAAAAGAAGCCCCTATTATATCCTCCCAGCCCCCAAACTTTTAGGAGGAAGCTTGTTTTTTTAATAGGGGAAGGAGAGGTTGGGCAAGGGATCGATTGTTTACACACACATTGTTACGAGAAAATGTACGATTTAAGTCTAAATATCCTGGTTTTGTTGTGTGATTCTTAAAGACGAGTAACGGGAAGAACTGGAGGGAGGACTAGGGTGAATTCGGGGCAGCATTTACTGTCATTTGGATTCTTACCGGCTCCTGCCAGGGCTCACGCAGATCTGCAGTGAGGTACTTGCCGAACTCTGCCCCCTCACACATTTGAATCTTTTCTTCTTGAATGTTAAGTCAAAGCTAGTTTGATGGAAATCTTCATATGCAGAGTTCAACACCTAGGGTACTCAGTTAGAATCATCCCCTGCTTCTTGTTTAGTTATTTTGGGGGGACCATGTGGTGCCTTGATTGAACAAGACCTCTGTTAGTTAGCAACCTGAGTTCTGCAATGCTCACATTGCTTCTCTAAAAATTCATTAGGTTTGATTTGCCCTGAAGCACCTATAATTTTTTTGTTCAGCCCAGCCTGGTGGTGCCTAGGGGTTGCTCCCTGCAGTTCTTGGTGACTTGCTCCGTGCAGAGTACTCCAGCCCTGTGTATACAACCAGGTGTATAGCTCTGTCCTTGGAGTACAACGTGAATTATCAGCATTTCATACAGTTTTGGAGAACAGTTTTTACTCTGAAGTAGTTCTTGTTGAACTAGTTTAGAAAAAGATAGATGTATTTCCAAGTTCTGTTGTTTAAATCCTGATAGTATTCTAACCTATCAATCAAATTTCAGATTTGGTATTAGTGTATATGTGAAAGGCATTTTTATCCATAAATAGTTTTTCCTTTATTTGATCCATTACAATCTTTTCCACTGATTACTGGTTTTGGAGGAAAGTTAGAAGACTTAAACCTTTGTGTTGAAAGTGGTTCATAATAGTCAACAGTAAATTGAATTAAGCTTTTTGAGGGACCAACTGACTTGTGATATATCACTTACAAGCCCAACTGAGGCTGTAGAATATTCCTGTTGCTAATCTTGGAGATATTTTGCTCAGTTTTGGGTGTTTTAGATCTAGACCTCTTTCACTGTAACTCCATTAAACTCTTGAGTGATTGCTTCCCTATACCTCCAGGATGTAGATGTCATTTATTATTCCATCTCTTAAAAGCTTTCAAGTAGGTTTTGGTTGCCCACTGGATAAAATTATTATGCTTTGAATATTACATACAAACCCTTTTATGATGTGGTGGTTTCTCTTGTAACACCTGTTCATCTTCACATATCCATGCTTCTCTGAGGAAGAAAAGCCATTCTCATAGCCAGGCTTGTTTATTCTACTGCTTTCGCTGGTTAAGGTAGAATCACTTATGAGTCATTCTTAGACTAAGTTCCCATCAGATAAGTTTTCCTCTCAAGTTTTCACCAATGGCTTCTTCCTTTTAACTTAAAAACACGACAAAATCATTCTAAAAACAGATAACCAAAGTTCTTTAAGTTTATGACTCTCTACTCCCTGTCATTTTCTTTGTGGAAATGAAAACTTCATTTCCATGTTCCTGCTTTTTCCACTTTTTTGGGGCATGTGTGTGGGGTTGGGGGATTGGACCACACCTGGTTGTGTGTAGAACTACACTCTTGGCCTTGCCCACGGAGCCTTTGCAGTGTCAGGATCTAACCAGGGCTGGCTCCGCGTGGTGGTGTTGCCTTACTCCCTACTATCTCTCTAGCCCTTTGCTTTTAGTTTTTGTTTGTGCCAGGGATTGAACCTGGGGCCTTGTATATGCAAGACATGTACTCTGCCATGGAGCCATCGCTAGCCTCCTTGCTTGTCAGCTCTAGTCCTCCCTCTCTGGGCTTATTACTGATAATTACTGATTTTTCAGTTGCATCGATCATTTCCAGTTTTTTCCTGCCTCTTTTTAAAAAAACTTAATTTTTTTCATCACTCATTTGTGTTTAAATTTTCTTTTTTTGCTCCCTTTATTTTCTTGTCCTCCCCTGCCCTTCCTCCCTCCTTTCCTTCCTGTTTTGGGCTGTACCTGGCAGTGCTGTTCCTCCCCTTGTGCTTTGGGTGTCAGACCTGGTGGTGCCAGGGATCAAACACTGGGCCTCCTGCATATATAAAGCATGTGCTCTGCCCATTGAGTCATTTTTCTGTCCTTTGACACTTTCTTTGTCCTCTGCACATGCAGTCTCAACATACACAGATTATTATTGGTTCTCAATATGCCAAACACAGTAACAATGTCCCAAACACAGTAACAATGTCTCAAAATGGAGACAGTACTGGGCGGTTGGAGCAAATCAGTGAACAATGGGAGGACAGTGACAGTGTCTGGATTTGATTATTCCTTGTTGTCATTACACTTGATAAACTTTTTCCTTACCCAGTTCTACTTTTTCCTTACCCAGACCTGTTTCTACTCTTTCTGTATTAAAAATTATTTTGGGGCTGGAGCAATAGCACAGCGGGTAGGGTGTTTGCCTTGCATGCAGCTGACCCAGGTTCGATTCCCAGCATCTCATATGGTCCCCTGAGCACCTCCTGGAGTAATTCCTGAGTGCAAAGCCAGGAGTAACCCCTGTGCATCACTGGGTGTGACCCAAAAAGAAAAAAGAAATTTGGGACCCCACCCCACCCCTCTGCCCCAGGGGCCATGCCATTTCCTGCTCAGACTAGAATTAAGTGCTAGAACCCAAGAATATGGGGGTTACACTAGCAATGCTTGCGGCCAGGTGGTGCCAAGGATCAAACGCCTCCATTATTCTCCAGTCCCATATTTAAGGTTGGTTAGTCGCATTGTGTTTATTCATATCAAAAATACTTTTCATGTCAAGTAATAAAAATCTGTATTTTTATATCCTAGAGATACTTCTTAAATCTATTCCCTTTAATGCATCTCTGCTTCTGAATCAGATTTTGTTTTAATTCATTTATACACTAAAAGATCTGAATTGTTGCTGAAAACAAAGTATTATTACCCATCCTTTCTTCCTTCCCTGCCACATGTGACTCTTACTCCTGGTGGGGCTTGTGATACCTTCTGGGGGGGGGGCTGGGGTTTTAACATGGTTGACCCATGTGCAAGGCAAAAGCTCTACCCTCTGTACTATCTTTTTATCCCCTCTACACTTAATCACTTTTGAGTAAAACAATTTTCATTTTCATGGATGGACATTAATCTGATAATTTGAAGAGGGAAAGGTAGATATGAAGAGAGATAGGGTACTTTGATTCGGTAAGAAAATACCTTTGTCACAAGTGGACTACGATTTTCCAATAATGAGTAGAAGTTAAATAGGTGAAAAAGAAAACATAGTAGGGGCCACTCATCCAGGCAGGAGGGAACATGAAACATTTAAGAGTCTGAAAGAGTTATAGTGGGAGCTGGTTTAGTAAATCAAGTTAGGAGTTTTTTTTTTTTTGTAATAAAAATCTGAATCTACTGAGGGATTATGAGTAGGGGAAATGTTAGAGGTAGAGGAAATGGAGTGATACCATATTTGTGTCCTCTTAAAAATGTGATTTTTTGGTAGCAGTGCAGAGTAAGGTTAGAAGGGAAATTGAAATCGCACAGTTGCTGCAGTCTGGGCTGAGGGAATGGTATTGGAGAAGATGAAAAGGAAAGACTTGGTGGGTCTATTAGATGTGTCCACTGAAGGAGAAGTGGAAGTATTTCACATGACTTAGATTTTCTGCCTTCCCTAATGAAGGAGCAGTAGTGTTAAAATGCATTGAATGAAGACATTTTGGATGTCTAGGTGAGGGCCAAA